CCCCCACCTCTCCACTTGAGATTGAGTATCCTTCCTCCTCCTCCCAACACTGTTCAATTTTTACTGTACTCTCTTTGCTCACATTTCTCTGGTTTGTTCCATATGTGTACCCACTGGAACGAGTCGAGTAGGGTATCGAGCTAACTGTGCCAGAGGGCATAGAGTCCAGGCCCTCCTCCACTACTTAACTAGTTATGTGAGTCTGCGAAATGTCTCCTCTAAAATGGAATGACAGTGCCTTCCTCCCTGGGCTGCTGAGGTATAAATAAGGAAGTAGCTGATACTTTATAAGGCAACATAGAATTGTAAAGCATGATTGATATTTGCCTAAGGTAGAGTAGAGAAGTGTTGGTCTAGGCAGGGACAGCTGTGAGGACACTGAGAACCTAGAAAGAAGGAACTGCCTAAAATTAGGGTGAAGAGGCCAGGCGAGGTGGCTCACGCCTATAATCCCAGCACTCTGGGAGGCCAAGATGGGCCGATTGCTCAAGGTCGGGAGTTCAAAACCAGCCTAAGCAAGAGAGAGACACCCCTCCTCCCCCTGCCTCTACTAAAAATAGAAAGAAATTAATTGGCTGGGCATGGTGGCACATGCCTGTAGTCCCAGCTACTTGGGAGGCTGAGGCAGGAGGATTGCTTGAGCCCAGGAGTTTGAGGTTGCTGTGAGCTAGGCTGATGCCACGGCACTCTAGCCTGGGCAACGGAGTGAGACTCTGTCTCAAAAATAAAATTAAATTAAAAAAAATAAAATTAGGGTGAAGAAAAGAAACCAGGAGAACTCTGGGAGTGCCCTTTGATCTAGGCCTACACAGCCATCTGCAGGGCTGGCTTCCCAAGACTGCAGTCCAGACCCTGGGAGGAAGTCAGGCAATTAAGCTTTCAGCTCAAGCCTCCCCAGAGAGCCCCAGACTTAAGGTATTTGTGAGTGTCTTCCTTTCTGATTGCTATGGTAAAAAATGAGTACAAAGCTGGTGGCTTAAAACTACATAAATTTGTTATCTTAAAGTTTTAGAGATCAGAAGTCTGACATGGGTGTCACTGGACTGAAATCAAGGTGCTGGCAGAACTGCATTCCTTTCTGAGGCCTTTCACAGCAGTTAGAGGGTGCTCACGGTCCTCCACCAGTGACCCCTCTTCCTGCATCTTCACGGCAGCAGTGGCTGGTCGAGTCTTTCTTGTATATCATTGCTCTGACTCTGACTCTCCTGCCTCCTTCTCCACGCACAAGGACACTTGTGATTGCATAGGGCCCGTCTGGGTAATCCAGAATGATCTCTTCATGTCAAGACCAGCTTATTAGCAACTTTAATTTTATCAGCAAACTTCATTCCCCCTTGCCAGGTAATGTAACATTTCACAGGTTCCAGGGATTAGAACGTGGACACCTCTGGGAGGGCCATTACTATGCCTACCACAGGGGGAGAAAGGACACTAGAAATCATCCGGTTCAACTCCCACTATCCTCCAGCAAGCCCTCCCTGACCCCCCAAAACTAGGTTAGGTGAACCTGTGTGATAATCCCACATGGTTACACCCATCACTCCTCCCTCAGCATTGTGTTTGCTTGTCTGTGTCTTTGAGGAGAGAGACTGCCCTTTGGTGCTTGTGTCTTTGCTAGAATATAAGCACCACATACATGCACAGGATCTTTGTTGGTTTTGTTCTAGATCAAAAAGGATATTATATGCAAAGCCTTTGGCCTTTAGGAGTAAAGGTTTTATATGTAGTTGTTAAATGAATGAATTGAATTCCCATAACCTAGCATGGTCTCTAGTACAGAGTAGATGCTTAATGATGTTGCTGCTACAATTGCTACTATGAGTAATATTTACTGAGCCCTTACTATGTGCCAGGCACTGTGCAAAGGCTGTACATACATCATCTTATTTGATCCACCCAACAACCCATGAGGGAGGAGATGTATTTCCTCCTAACTGAAGTTTAGAAAAGTTAAGTCACTTGCCCAAGGTCAAGTGGCCTAAGAAAGGTTGTGTACTTGGATTAAAAATAATATCCCTCAGACACTCAAGCCCATGCACCTTTTACTCCTAGTTGCTTTGAGGGGCTTTGTATGCCCTCTGGCTTCAGGGCGTTCACTCTGGTACTCTATGTGGAATTCCAGGGCAGGCATCCCAACCTCAGCCCTGATATTTCCTGTTTACGGAGGGTTTTCTCTGATTACAAGACCCCACAGTGCAAACAGGTAGGGAGGGGCATCCCTCTCTTAGAGAATGGGATCCATCTGTTTAGCATGAGCAAGGTCTCCATAAAGAACCATAGACACATTTGCCAGAAAAATGGGCATTCTTCCTACAGAGAAACAGTTGGGGGTTATCTGGAGTCACAAGCCAAGCCCTCAGTAGTGACCATAGATATTGTCCTAGATCAAGGGCTTAATGTGTGACAGCCTTAATGATGCCCTCTCAGCTGTCTCTCTCGATTCCTGCCTTCACCACCTGGGGAGACAGGATTACCTCAAGAAATCATGAGATTTTAGTAGTGGGTATAGGTGACGGTTCTATCAGTACTGCCAATTTAGTACTTATCTTGGGCCAACCCCCTGGACTGTCTGTGAGCCAGACTGGCCTGGCTTATAGTGCTCACCCAATATATCCAAGAGGGAATAACTGACTGGTTATAAAAAGCATAGGATTTTCTAGGGAACATTTGCTAAAGACAGAGCAGTAGGATGCAAGGAGGAAGTCAATAATGGGTTCATCTACTCCATTCATTCATTCATTCATTCATTCAACAAACATTGAGCACCTGTGCCCAGCTCTGTGCTAGAGGCTGAAGATCATCCTGGAGGCAGGAATAGGTGCCAGCAGGGCTGCACTCCATCCGACACCTGATGCCCAGCACAAGAGGCACAGGGAGAAGAACTGGAGATGCAAAGACTGACTGTCGCAGCAACTGCAAGGGGTGGTGAAGAAGACCCAAGATTCAGAGCTGGGTTGAGCTGCCTAGGGAAACAGCATGGACAAAAGCAGGAGGGCAGCACTGAGAGCATGTTCTGAAGACAGTAGACAGAGCGACAGGGCTGCACTGGAGTGAGGGGCAGGATGACAAGGCACAAATGGGCCTCGTAGGAAGGACGTGAAGGGCATCTGAGTCATTTTAATTCTATACTATAGTGCATTAAAGATCCATTGAAGCTTTGGTTCTTTTAAAAACAGCATTATTGAGGTGTAATTTACATGCCACAAAATTCACCCCTTTAAAGTTTACAATTAAATTATTTTTATTAATAGTAAATTTCCCAAGTTGTGCAGCCATCACTATCATCTAGTGTCAGAACATCCATGACTCCAGTAAGATCCCTCATGCCCGTTTACAGTTAAGTCCTATCCCCAAACCCAGGCAAACACTGTTTTAGTTTCTGTCTCTGTAGATTTACTTTGTAGTTCATTTCATATAAATGGAATCATATACAATACGTGATTTTTTTTCATGTCTGGCTGCTTTCACTTAGCATAGTGTGTTTGAAGTCCATCCACATTGTAGCATGTGCTAGTATTTATTCCTCTTTATTGCTGGATAGCATCAGTGGTATGAATATGCCACGTTTCATTTATCTCTTCACCAGTCAATAGACATTTGGGTAGTTTCCACTTTTTGGCTATTATGAATAATGTGCTATGAACATGTTTGTGTGCAAGTCTTTGTTCTACTGGATAGGTACCCAGGAATGAAATAGTTGGGTTGTATGGTAAATTTATGTGTAATTCTTTGGGGGCTCTACTTAATTGCTTTTATTTCCTTTTTGAAATGGCTGTATTGAGATATAATTTGCATACCATAAAATTCACCTGTTTTAAGCATGGAATTCAAAGAATTTTAGTATATTTACAGAGTTGTATAACCATCACCATCACCACTTCTAATTTTAGAACATTTCTATATCACCCTAAAAAGAAATTTTGTGTCCATTTATAGTTATACTCCACATTTCCACTCCCAGTCCTAGGCAACCTCTAATCTACTTTCTGTCTCTATATATTTGCCTTTTCTAAACAGTTCATATGAAGTAAGTTACACAATATGTCGTCTTTTGGGTCTGGCTTCTTTCACTGGACATAGTACCCATGTACAATGTATCAGTACTTAGCTCCTTTTTATTGTCAAATAATATTCCATTATATGGATATACCATATTTTATTTATCCATTTAGCAGTTAATGGACATGTGGGTTGTTTCCACTTTTTGTCTATTGTAAACGATACTTGCTATGGACATTCATGTACACGTTTTGTGTGTGGATGTATGTTCCATTTCTCTTGGGTAGATACCTAGGAGTGAAATTGCTCTGTTATATAGTAGGTATATATTTAACCTTTTAAAAAACTGCCAAACTTTTTTCCAAAGTTGTTGTACCATTTTACATTCCCATAAACAATATATGAGTGTTCCAGTTTCTCCCTATTCTCACCAAGACTTGTATTGTTGATCTTTTTTATTATAGCCATGCTAGTAGAGGTAAAGTGATATCTCATGGTTTTAATCTGCCTTTCCTTCATGACTAATGATGTTGAACATCTTTAAATGTGCTTTACTAGCCATTCCTATATCTACTTTGGTGAAATGTCTATTCATATCTTTTACCCATTTTTAAATGTCTATTCAAATCTTTTGCCCACTTTTTTAATTGGGTTGTCTTATCATGTTGTAAAGGTTCTTTAGGTATTATGGATATATTATCTGATATGTGATTTCTAATTATTTCCGCCCAGTCTGAGGCTTATTTTTTTCATTTTCTTAATAATATCTGTTGAAAGATTTTTGAGGGAAAGAAGATCAAGATAGAGCCATGTTTCCAAAAGACAGTCTGGCCCCAGCACGTGGAATGGATCAAAAGAGCCAGGGACCTCTTTTCATAAGTTGTAATAAAAGGAACAGATGCAGGCCAATTTGCTTAAAACTCTCCGGTAATCGAAGGGTTAAAATAAGCTACTTATTCAAGCTTGTTTACAGTTCAGTTAACCAGTAAACCAGAATTCGTGAAATGCAAAAACCTTTCCAAAGGTTTTCCTTGGTTGGGAGAGGAAGAGAAATGAGAGAGGAGACACGAATGACTATTCCAGAGCTACATAAATAATTTCCAGCGTGGGACAGACAGTTGTGAACTTCCTTCCAGGCTCTGTCACACTGGTGTTTACTGGCGGGAGACCAGGCAGAGCAGGTTCTCGCCCCCTGGGATTTCCTGGCTGGTGAAGAGGCCAGGCTGTCTGGAGAGGTGGAGTGCCCTTCAGTGGCTCTCTTTCAACAAGCCCAGCAAGATGTCAGAGCTGCTCTCAGTCTTCCTCCACCTCCTTCTCTTCAAGTTGGTTGCCCCGGTAACCTTTCGCCACCACCGCTATGATGACCTTGTGCGCACGCTATACAAGGTGCACAACGAATGCCCCCAAATCACGCGGGTCTACAGCATCGGGCGCAGCGTGCAGGGGAGACACCTCTACGTGCTGGAGATCAGTGACTACCCTGGATTCCACGAGCCCTGTAAGTCCTGAGCAGCTGCTGGGGTGTGTGGGGCAGGACTCGTTCCTCCGACAAATCCAGTTATTGGGGTCGTTTCTTGGGAGGTCTGAGCAACCCTCCACCTCTATAGTTTACCTCTTTCTCGGCCTGGGCTAAGTGTTTCTCTCTTAGCTCTCAGACTGCCCTTCAGAGCAGCTGCAGGCCCAATTCAGGCGCCAGGTTCTGTTTGCTCAAACCTTCATGGTAAAAGGTGAGTGTTCCTCCCTGCTCAGGTCCCATCCCCCTTCCTTCTCTCCATTTCTCTTTTTTTCACCTTAATATTAGTTCTTTCATGATCTGATGGCTCTGGAGACATAAGCAGAAACAATGAGCTCTTCTCGTTGTGCCAGGAAACTTAGAAGTATTTAGAGATATCTCTTCGGGGAATGACGGTGTGATATCCTAGAGAAAGGTGGAGGCTGTTGTATTAGTTTTATTTACTGGATTCTTTTTGGTTAATTTGTTTCTATTATAAATGCAATCCATGTTTGGATTAAAAGTTAGAAATTAGATAATAAATAATAATAAAACTCACATAATCCCACCACTCACAGACAACCGTTGTTAGCATATTGATGTATAACCTTCCAGACTTTTTTCTATGCATATTTAAACCCCCTCACATAAACACATATAATTGCTTTTATAAATATGGGATCATACTATAGCTGCTCTTTTCATTTCATAGTCTGTTTTCAATAGCATCTGTCTGTAAATGTAGATTTACATCTTCATTTTTTGGCTACATAATATCTCACTGCATGATTGTATTTAACTGTTCCTATATTTTTATTTATTCATTTATTTTTGAGACAGAGTCTCACTCTGTTACCCAGGCTAGAGTGCCGTGGTGTCAGCCTAGCTCACAGCAACCTCAAACTCCTGGAGTCAAGTGATCCTCCTGCCTCAGTCTCCTGAATAGCTGGGACTACAGGCATGCGCCACCATGCCCAGCTAATTTTTTCTATATATTTTTAGTTGGCCAATTAATTTATTTCTATTTTTAGTAGAGACGGGGTCTTTTGCTCTTGCTCAGGCTGGTTTCAAACTCCTGACCTTGAGCGATCTGCCTGCCTTGGCCTCCTAGAGTGCTAGGATTACAGGCGTGAACCATCACACCTGGTCACTGTTCGTGTATTGATGGACCTCTAAGTTGTCCCTACTTTTTCACTGCTTTACTTATAACAACTGAACTGATATTCAAGTTAAGTCAGTTTTGGCCGAGCGCAGTGGCTCACGCCTGTAATCCTAACACTCTGGGAGGCTGAGGTGGGCGGATTGCTCAAGGTCAAGAGTTCCAAGTTAAGTCAGTTTAACCCTCAAATTGTCAACTTCAATCTCTCTTTACCTCTCCACTTTCACACCCCCAACCCTAGCCTAGACTCTTTCACAGCCCACCCAGATTATTGCACTGAATTCCTAACTGGTCTCCTGACTCCTAACTGCCACTCTTTGAACCTTCCATTTGGCACACAGATGCCTGAATAATTTTCCTAAATACTGATATAATCTCACTCTCCTGCTTTAAAAACTTCGCACCCAACGGACTGGCCATGGCAACTTCAGAAAATTACAAAGAGGAGGCTCAAAGAAAGTTATGTGGTTAACGGGAATAATTGCCTTGCATTGAAGCTGCCCTTGCACAGCAAAAAGCCTGCTTCTAATCACATCGTACATCCATTGTGGAAGCTTGCAGATGTTAATGCAGATTATGGGGTTAGCCCCCAACTCCATATCTCCCTTCTTGGTGCTCCTGTACTTTCTAGCATTCAAGGTCATCCTTAAAGCTTTTTCATTTAACTGTAGGCCTCACTGACCCCTCTTTTCTCTGAAGCCCTATAACTTTAGCTGTTCACCCATTCATTCCTTTCATTCATTCATTCCACAAATACTCATCACCTACGCAATATGCAAGCACTTTTGTAGACTCTGGAAGTACAGCAGAGAATAAAACAAAGACCCTGCCCTCATGGGCCTGGATTCTAGTGGGGTAAGACTGCCAATAAATGGACAACTAAGTGAATGCATATTATGTCAGATGGAATAAATACCATAGAGAAAACTAAATTAGGACAACAAAATAGAGATGCCATAGGGAAAACGTGGAGGCCAGGGGCAGGCAGGTCACTGATGAAAGGCTCTCCACTGAGATGGTTTCGGAGCAGAGATCTGAAGGATCAGCATGCTGTGCTGGTGTAGGGGAGGGAAAGATGGCAAGCAGAGGAAAGGGCAAACACAGAGCTCCAGGAGCCGAAACGTGCTTGGCACATGTGAGGAGCAGCAAGGGGCCACGGTGGCTCCAGCAGAGTGAACAATGGGAGAGCCAGAGACAAGGTCAGAGCCATGTGACTGGGGACCCTGGGAACAGTAGATCCTGCAGGGCCCTATAGGCCTTGGTAAAGACCTGGGCTTTTACTTTTGAGTAAAGTGAGAAGCCATTGGAGAGTTTTAAGCAGAAGAGGGATGATCTGACTTAAATTTTTTTTTTTTTTTTTTTTTTGAGACAGAGTCTCACTTTCTTGCCTAGGCTAGAGTGAGTGCCGTGGCGTCAGCCTAGCTCACAGCAACCTCAAACTCCTGGGCTCAAGCGATCCTCCTGCCTCAGCCTCCCGAGTAGCTGGGACTACAGGCACGAGCCACCATGCCCGGCTGATTTTTTTTTATATTATATATATTAGTTGGCCAATTAATTTCTTTCTATTTTTATGGTAGAGACGGGGTCTCGCTCAGGCTGGTTTTGAACTCCTGACCTTGAGCAATCCGCCCGCCTCGGCCTCCCAGAGTGCTAGGATTACAGGCGTGAGCCACCGCGCCCGGCCTGACTTAAATTTTTAAAAGATCATTTAGAACAGGGGTTAGCAGACTATAGCCCACAGGCCAGCCACCTGTTTTGGTAGATGAAGTTTTATTGGAATGTAGTCGTGCCCATTCACTTTGTTTTGCCTGTAGTTGCTTTCGATGGAAGAGTTGAGTATCTGTGACAGAGACAATATAGCCCACAAAGCATAAGGGATTTACTATCTAGACCTTTACAGAAAAATTTTTGCCAATCCCTGACTCAGGAGAACAGACTTTAATGGGGCTGGGCAGATGCAGAGACAGAAAGTGGAAGATTTACTGCAATAATCCAGGCATGAGGGTGCAGGGGCTTGAACCAAATGATAGCAGTGGTTATTATGAGAAGTGGTTGTATTCTGGATATATTGAAAGTAGTGCCAAAGAATTTGATACCGAACACCTACTAAGTGTGTGACACTGTGCTAGGTTCTATAGGGCAGAGGTTCCCAGACTTTTGGATTTCATAGAGAAGGTTTTTTTTTTTAATTTAATAAGAAAGATTAGAGAAAACAAACATATTTTCCAAATTTTGTTTTACTGAAAAGTATATGCCAGTATATGGCAGTATAACTATCTTCCATCTACCGTCCCCATCCTTTCCTAAAAGAAAGGAAATTTTAAATCCAAGTAAAGTAAGAAAGACATACTCTAAGATTAAAGAAGTACACTAAGATGAAAGAATACGCATTATGGAAAATTGACCACATGATCATTGTGGGTTACAAGCATTCCTTTGGAAAAGATTGCTGTAGGTAGATTAAAATATGTAACAATAGAGTGTGTCCTAAATAAGATTAAAAAGTATATGCATTGCTAACGCCAGGGCCAGTCAAGGAAATAGAACATGTGCAAAGATAGGTGAAAGCTAGGAAGCCGGAAGCAAGCTCACTGCTGGCAAGGAGAACCCAAGATGGCTTCACAGAGTAAATGACATTTGAACTGGGCCTAGAAGTGGGGAGGTGGGATGAAGGGTGGAGAGTCAGAGTTAGGTGGAAAAGAAAACACTTGGCAAGAGCTTTTCTCCTTCCTTTTATTTATTTATTTTCATTATTTTTTTATTTTTTAGCATGACAAATTCCAGGTTATCTCCTTCCTTTTAAAAGGGGGACAAGAATGATTTTCTTTAAGTGATTCCAGAGGCTCTTTTAAGATCCTCAGATCTCACCTCCAGTAGCCAGTTGAGGTGGCAGGAGAGAAGTCCAAGGTGTCAGACACAGTGGCTTCCCTGTTCTGTGCTTTGAGACTTGTCCTCCTCAGATGTGAAGGGCAGATTTTAGTTTCCTAAGGGCCAAGAAAGTTAAGTTTTCCACTGGGATGATTAGCAACTGTTGAGCTATAACCTAGAGCACATGATGATAGCAGGTTTTTGGGAGGAACCATCCTTATCCTGGAAGGTTTGTCTCTGAGAAGCAGCCTGCGCTGTAAACGGATGGAACGTGCCGCCTGGGCGTGGTGCGCATCAGTCATTAGCGAGGCAACCTCAGGTAAGTTACTTAGCCTCCTCTGTTCCTCGAACCCTCACCTCGAGGCTAGTCATGCCCACTTTACAGGTTTCCGTGACGATTAACAGTAATGAACATAAATGCCTAGTACACCGTGGGGGTCCAATAAATAGTACTCACTATTGTGCCTGGCATGAATTTTTGTAACTTTTGTAATTGCAATTGGTTAGGAAGGGGCTCAGGGATCTTTCGAAGACCCAGTGAAATTTTCTTATAGTCTTCAAAAAGGAGGAGAAAGGTCCCTTTGCAAGGTTAGGTGTCAGTGGCACTTCCAAGCTTCCCCATCTTTTCTCTTGCTGCACGTGCATCTCTCGCTTGCAGTGGAACCGGAAGTCAAGTACGTGGGGAACATGCACGGCAACGAGGTGCTGGGCCGCGAGCTGCTGCTGCAGCTGTGCGAGTTCCTGTGCGAGGAGTTCCGCAACGGGAACCGGCGCGTCGCGCGGCTGGTGCAGGACACGCGCATCCACGTCCTGCCGTCCATGAACCCCGACGGCTACGAGGTGGCGGCCGCCAAGGTACTGTCGTCCTGGGGACATATGCCGTGGAGGGAACAGGGCCATCTCAGGAAATAAAGTAAAAGCCAGTAGACAAGATGCTCTCTCTGTCCTACTGTAAATGTAAGTCAAAAATGTATCAAAAATAAAAGATAAAATGGCCGAGAGAGGGGGAAGAATGCCAACAGAAACATAAAAAAGGATGAAGATTGGGGTTCGGTTCTGTGGCACCTTAGGCAATAAATGTGGGCTGTCTCTGAGCCACTGTTCCCGCAACCACTTTCCAGCTGACCTCAGGGTTTTATCGTGAGGATCAATGTGGCGCTGTCTGTGACACACTGTGTAAACTGGAAAATACTAAACAGATGGGATATTGCAAAGGATATTGCAAAATATGCCTCCTTTCTTGAGCTTTCAGCTTCATACCCTAAACACCCTCCTCCCCTCCAGACCACGTTTTCATTTGCATTTGTGGGAGAACAGCTTTCCATGGAATGAAGGCACAAGGGGCTAATTCCAGATTCTTCATACTTTGTCTTATTTCCGTAGGGTTTTTCCTCCACTAGCATAGTATTCAGTCTTTCCATTCTTTATTCCAGAGTTATATTGCAATGGGACAGATAAGAAAAAATGTCTGTGGGCTTTTTACTTTATTTCTTAACATAAATTCAAAATTTCAGCCAGGTGCGGTGGCTCATGCATGTAATCCTAGCACTCTGGGAGGCTGAGGCGGGCGGATTGCTCAAGGTCAGGAGTTTGAAACCAGCTTGAGCAAAAGCGAGACCCCCATCTCTACTTAAAAAAAAATAATAATTAATTAATTGGCCAACCAAAAATATATAGAAAAAATTAGACAGGCATGGTGGCACATGCCTGTAGTCCCAGCTCCTCAGGAGGCTGAAGCAGAAGGATCGCTTGAGCCCAGGAGTTTGAGGTTGCTGTGAGCTAGGCTGGCGCCACGGCACTCTAGCCTGGGCAACAAAGCGAGACCCTCTCTCAAAAAAAAAAAAATTAAATGTACCTAACTTTAAACCAATGGTTCTTCTTTGTGACTGTGTATCAGAATCACAGGTTTTCAAAGAGCAGGAAAATTAGAAAGAGGTGCAGGGCTGAATCCCAGCCTGTCTTCCTTGCTTCTGTTAGCCCTTTCCCGTATTGCAGTGGGGCAGCTGAGAACCAGCTCACTCTTGCCCACATCCTTGGCAATATATGGAGTTTGGGGGAGTGGAGAAAGCCCAGCCCACCCACCCAACCTTAGGACCATCTCTGGGAAGCTGGTCACCTCTACTCACCTGCTGTGCTCTTACTCAGAGGGAGCAGATCTTGAACTGAACCCAATAGAGGACCCATCAAGTTCTCAGACTCCCGGCCGGGCACGGTGGCTCACGCCTATAATCCTAGCACTCTGGGAGGCCGAGGTGGGCGGATCGCTCGAGGTCAGGAGTTTGAAACCAGCCTGAGCAAGACCCCGTCTCTATTATAAATAGAAAGAAATTAATTGGCCAGCTAATATATAGAGAAAAAATTAGCCGGGCATGGTGGCGCATGCCTGTAGTCTCAGCTACTCGGGAGGCTGAGGCAGTAGGATTGCTTAAGCCCAGGAGTTTGAGGTTGCTGTGAGCTAGGCTGATGCCACGGCACTCACTCTAGCCTGGGCAACAAAGTGAGACTCTGTCTCAAAAAAAAAAAAAAAAAAAATTCTCAGACTCCCAAAGCTACTTGCCATGCCCAGAAGAAACATGTCTGCATGGCTGTGCAGGGGACACCTGCCTGACCACCAGACTTTAAAGCCACTTGTAGGTAGGCAGAATAATGGCCACTCAAGTATGACCATGTACTAATCTCCAGAACTTATGAATATGATATGTTGTTTGTCCAGAGGAAATTAAAGTTGCAGATGGAGTCAATGTTGCTAATCAGTTGACCTTAAAATATCCTGTATTATTTGGGTGGGTCCAGTGTGATCAATCACAAGGGTTCTTTAAATGTGGAAGAGGGAGGCCAAAGGTCAGAGTTAGTGAGATTTGAAGATGTTACACTGCTGGCTTTGAAAATGGAAGAAAGGACCACAAGCCAAGGAATGTGGATGGCCTCTAGAAGCTGGAAAAATCAGGAAACATATTCCCCTAGAGCCCTTGGAAGGAATACAACCCCATGGACACCTTGCTTTTAGTCCCTGAGACCTGTTTCAGTCTTCTGACCTCCAAAACTATAGGATAATAAACTCGTGCTGTTTTAAGCCACTAAGTTTGTGATAATTTGTTAAAGCAGTAATAGGAAACCAATACATCACCAACCCTATTTATGGGAACCTTCTGTTAGGGGAAGCCCCTTCCTGCCAGCCTAACCATTGCCCAGCACGCCTGGTAAATCAACTGATGAAGCCCGTAGCAGTTAATGTTCAAGAGCTACCTTGATATGAATGAACAGGCAGTGAAAAAAACCTGGAAGCATAAAGAAAGTCATTATGTCACAGAAGTGTATACCGAACTGAGAAATCATATGAATGTTTTCCACTGGAACAGAATTGATATAGACAACTTCAAAGAACTTAAAAAAATGTTTTCAACACAATCTAAAAATAAGATACAAATGGGATGCCATAGAAAAGAAGAAATCTTAGAACAATAATGAATTTGTCAGAAAAAAACATGATCTGCCATGTCTTATTGGTTAGAAAAAAAAAAAAAGAAAAGGAAAAATATGAGAGCAGTAGTACATCTGTGAGTTTTAGCTTCCCAGCATCAATTCATTCACTTCCAGGAGAAGGCAACAATTTGGGCTCTACCCGCTCAGGGCTCCAGTGGACACTATTTCCCTTCTCCAATGCCACACAAAACATTAAATGGGATTTCGATTTTTCATGAGCCCCTTAACATATCTCTATCACTTTATGTATTTAATTTTCATGTATTTATCTGTCTCTCGCCCCATGTATACTATGAATTCCTAGAAGGCTAGAATAATGTCTCATTTATCTCTTTCCACAGTGTCTATCAGAGAGCTTTGAATAGAGAAGGACTTAAGTAAATGCTGGTTGACTAAATGGATGACCGAATGAGTGAAAGAATACATGAGCAAATAAATGATAAAATTTGAAGTATAAGCAGAGAAATTAAGGGATCCAGAAAGTTGATACTGCTCAGAAGAAAGATAAGTAAGGATCCTAAATGTTTTTTAAAAATGGGAGGGGTGGGTTTCCATGGTACAACCACTTTGGAAAACAGGTTAGCAGTTTCTAAAAAAGTTAAACATAGACTTAATTTATGATCCAGCAGCCCTATGTATAAGGGTCTACCCAAAGGAAATGAGACATACGCCCACACAAAGACTTGTATGTGAACGTTTAGAGCAACATTCTTCACAATAGCCAAAACATGGAAACAACCCAAATGTCCACATTGAACAGTGGGTTGAATAGTATCCTCCCCCAGATTCATATTTTCCTGAAACCTGTGCATGTGACCTTATTTGAAAATATGCAGTCATCCCTCAGTATGTTTTGGGGATTGGTTCCAGGACCCTCCATTGATACCAACATCTGTGGATGCTCAAGTGCTTTATATAAAATGGCATAGTATTTGTATATAGCCTATACACATCCTCTCCTGTACTTTAAAACATCTCTGGATTACTTAATATACCTAATACAATGTAAATGCTATGTAAACAGTTGTTATGCTGTATTGTTTAGGGAAGAAGGACAAGAAAAAAATATATATGTTCAATACAGATCCAACCATTGTAAGCCTAACTACATTTTTTGCTCTGCAGTTAGTTGAATCCATGGGTGTGGAACCCATGGATACAAAGGGCCAACTGAGGGATTTTGCAGATTTGATTAAGATGATGTCAAACTGGATTAGGGTGGGCTCTAAATCCATTATGACTGGTGTCTTATTAAAAAAAAGACATTTATAAATGGAGATGCTTATACTGGGGAGAAAGCCATGTGAAAGAGCAGAAATTAGAGTGATGCATCTACAAGCCAAGGAGCACCATGGATTGCCTTCAGCCACCAGAAGCTGAAAGAGACAAAGAGGGGGACTTCAGAGAGCATGGCCCTGCTGACACCTTGATTTCAGACTTCTAGCATCTAGAACTGTGTGAGAATAAATTTCTGTTATTATAAGCCAGCTGGTTTGTGGTAAATGTTACGGCAGCCCTAGGAAACTAACACAGTCCATCAACTGGTAAATGGATAAACAAAAGGTGGTAAATCATATAATGGAACTCTTCAGCAATCAAAAGGAATAAAGTACTGATACATGCTACAACATGGATGAACCTCAAAAACATGCCCAGTGAAAAGAAAAAACACAAAAGAACACATAATGTGTGATCCCACTTACATGACATGTCCAGAAAGGGCAAAGCAATGGAGACAGAAATGACTGCCTGGGGCTGGAGTGAAAAGGAGGAGTGACTGCAAATGGAAATGAGGTTTCTATTTAGGGTGATAAAAATGTTCTAGGCCAGGCGTGGTGGTTCACACCTGTAATCCTAGCACTCCGGGAGGCCGAGGTGGACAGATTGCTCAAGGTCAGGAGTTCAAGACCAGCCTGAGCAAGAGCGAGACCCTGTCTCTACTAAAAATAGAAAGAAATGAATTGGCCAACTAAAAATGTATAGAAAAAATTAGCTGGGCATGGTGGCACATGCCTGTAGCCCCAGCTCCTCAGGAGGCTGAGGCAGAAGGATTGCTTGAGCCCAGGAGTTTGAGGTTGCTGTGAGCTAGGCTGATGCCATGGCACTCTAGCCTAGGCAAGAGAGTGAGACTCTGTCTCAAAAAAAAAAAAGTTCTAAAATTAGATTGTGATGATAGTTATACAACTCTATAAGCACACTAAAATTCTTTAAAGTATAAACTTAAAATGAGTGAATTTTATGGTATATAAGTTATACCTCAGTGAAGCTGTTCATTGGAAAATTGGGGATCCCATTAACCTGAAACAACCCACTCTTGTTAGGGCTTCTCTGGGGATCTCCACCTCCAGCACATGGTCTGCAGGGAAACTTAAGCTGCACCACTGGGACTTTGGATAAGTTAAGTAAGAAAATGCTAAATCATTTGATAGATTAAGCTAATAACTAAAAATAACTATATAATGCTCTTCAAATATAGAATTTAGTCTGAAACCTTCATCTTTCATCTTTTCATTTCCCCCCTAGGGCCCAAACTCATCTGGGTATCTGGTTGGCAGGAACAATGCAAATGGAGTGGACCTGAACCGAAACTTCCCTGACCTCAATACCTACATCTACTACAATGAGAAGTACGGCGGTCCCAACCACCACTTGCCCCTTCCAGACAACTGGAAGAGTCAGGTAGGAGACAAAATTTGCAAACAGAAACAGGTAAATCAGCATCTGGAATTTCTTGCAGAAAGATTGCTAAGGAATCTTCACATCAACTAAATAAGCAAGAATTAAGCATTAACTCTTTTCCATGTTAATCTGTCTAGAGCAATGGTAACTGTATCTTAAGCTTCTTTGTATTTTTTCTTTTCCCAGGGTACAGCCCTCCATGGGGCACATGCTCACTAAAGGTTTATTGTTAGTGGTGATGGTGGCAAAGGAGGTGAAAACAGTATCATTCAGTTGCATGATATTTAACAATTGTTTTTTTTGGAGGCAGGGTCTCACTCTGTCGCTCAGGCTGGAGTGCAGTGGCACGATCGTAGCTCACTGTAACCTTGAACTCCTGGGCGCAAGCAATCCCTACACTTTAGCTTCCTAAGTAGCTAGGACTCCAGACTCATGCCACCATGCCCGACTAATTTTTCAACTTTTTTTAGAGAATAAGTCTAACTATGTTGTCCAGGCTGGTCTCGAACTCCTGGCCTCAAGCAATCCTCTCACCTAAGCCAAAGTGCTGGAATTCTAGGTGTGAGCCACTGTGCCAGCCCAACAAAATTCTTTCATAGCCAGTTCCTCATAGTACTCTGTGGTGAAGACATGAAGGCATCAAGCAGTGTTACCCATCTCTGTTTTATAGCTATTACACTTAAAGATAAAATAATTTAAGTTCACAGAGCTAGTAGTTGATGGAATCAGAATTAAAACTCAGGCCTTCTGATTCTCATTGCAGCGTTTCTTTCTACTACAGTAGGCCATGGACAGAGAACTCTAGCATTCTATAGAGAAGTCTCTCTTACAGGTGATGAACTGTGTGCTCATCAACAGTCAGCTATAGAAGGAGATTCAGCCAGGGGTGTAACTCAGGGTGGGGCACGTGACTGCAGAAAGAGGTTCAGGGCGTCCAGCCCATACAGTTGTTCCTCTTCCCTTCCTATATGACCCTTGACCACTTTGCCATACCCTCCCTTGGCTCCCCTACTCTCTCACAGGACCCCAGCCTCACTCTCCCGGAGGCCCGTAAGGCCACCCTAGGGAACGGGAATGGCTTCATCCTGCGGGTGGGCCTGCTCCTGGGCACAGCTGCTGTCATCCTCGGAGCATCACTGCTACTGCTGGTTTCTACGCTGTGTAGGACGATTCTAAAAGTTCCATTTGTGAATATCTAAACTTAGCGACTGGGGACAAAAAATGTAAAGCAGTGTAAGCCTTTTAATTGGGAGTTTCCTAGACAAAATATTCTGCTTTTTTCCCCTTGAAAATGATGCAAAAGTCATGCTGACATGTTATATTTCTGATAGCAACTGTCCTTTTGCCTCAAGTAAATAATAAATCGAAAATAACTTGGTTCCAAGCAAGCTAATGAGCAGAAAAAAAAAAAAAAAAAAGAAAGAAAATAACTTGGTACTAATCAGCATATCCAGCCCAAAGAATGTTCTGATTTATTCAACTTATTTCTCTAAGTAAAATAAGGTAATCGAGTCAATAACAATTAGGCTCCCATTCAGTCCTATCTCTAAATCATAGAAGAAAAAAGACAAGGAGAAGTCTCTCTTGCCCTTTATGGAACAGCCTCAAGGAAGAGGAACAGTGAGAAGCTGCCGTTGATCTGATAGAGGCTTAGGACATGAAGAAAGGGCTGCTTCAAAGCATCTGAGCCCTGGCCACAGACCAGGACTGGTGCCCTTGCTATTCCATCCATTCCAATTGAGTGAGACTCAACCCTGTTCATCCAGTCCCCCTGGGATGGAAAAGATGGGGCCTTCAGAGCTGACCTTTGGTCCAGGAGGAGCCATTGACACGTTAACCCCACATAATCTCTAAGCATGTCCATCCATTTTTTTTTTTTTTTTTTGAGACAGAGTCTCGCTTTGTTGTCCAGGCTAGAGTGAGTGCCGTGGCGTCAGCCTAGCTCACAGCAACCTCAAACTCCTGGGCTCAAGCGATCCTGGTGCCTCAGCCTCCTGAGTAGCTGGGACTACAGGCATGTGCCACCATACCCGGCTAACTTTTTTCTATATATATTAGTTGGCCAATTAATTTCTTTCTATTTTTAGTAGAGGTGGGTCTTGCTCTTGCTCAGGCTGGTTTCAAACTCCTGACCTCGAGTAATCCGCCTGCCTCGGCCTCCCAGAGTGCTAGGATTACAGGCGTGAGCCACCGCGCCCGGCCTGCATGTTCATCCTGAGAGGAGGAAAAATACTGAAGTCTGTAAATTATTTACTCTTTTTTTCTTTTTTTCACCCATCCCCCAACCATGAGACTTTAAATTATTTACTTATTCTGCAAGTCCATGTGGATTCAAGGCTTTCTTTAGAATACTTTCACTCACATGCAAGGCAGAGGGAGGAATTTCACTACTTAGCCGAGACTGGCCCATTTGACGGTATGTCGAACCTACGACATTTGGCTATGACCACAGGAGTGTGTTCCACATGTCAACATTGCAGCAGATGTGTTGGGGAAAAGGGAGGTTGAAAACCATTACTGTAAACCAGCATTTTCCAGAGTTATTTACTGCAGCCCTAAATTTCTGCAGAGATGCCTTATAAGGCACTGGAGCAGTGAGCCAATTGGGAAATCCTTTCCGAGGGACCAGAGAGAGGCCAAGCTGGGGCTCTGAGCTCTCCAATCACGGCACCCCTCTCCCTAGAGAACTTCTCTTTCTCTCTCTCTCAATAGACTTTATTTTTTTAGAGTAGTTTTAGGTTCACCTCAAAACTGCACAAAAAGTGCAGAGAGTTCCTCTATATTCCCTGCCCTCCTTTGCCCACACCACCATCAAGGTCCCGCACCCGATGGTACATTTGTTACCGTCAGTGAACCTACCTGGGCTCATCGTTAACACTCAATGTCGGTAGTTTACGTTGGTGCTTTCTCAGTGTTGTAAGTTCTTTGGGTTTGGGCAAATGTGGTGATGTGTATCCACTATCATAAGAGGAGTTTCACTGCCCTAAATGCTCTGTTTTGACCCATTTTGTATACTGGAATTCCACACAAAGAAGTAATCAAAGGTTCTATACACTCAACTGTTGAAACTATCATTTCAAAGGTCAAAATTTCCCCACCTACACTCGTCATATCTGGTAGGACTCCGTTTTAGTCAGACATGCTGTCCCCGCAGGCCACTTCCTCAAAGACTCATTCCAACGGCCTTTTGGCACCTCCAGCCGCACCTTCGCCACCAGCCTCTCCTCCTCTCCTCCTCGCAGGTGGAGCCCGAGACGCAGGCGGTGATCCAGTGGATGCGCTCCTTCAACTTTGTCCTTTCAGCCAATCTCCACGGAGGGGCGGTGGTGGCCAATTACCCCTACGACAAGTCCCTGGAGCATCGGGTCCGCGGCTTCCGCAGCGCTGCCAACTCCCCCACGCCCGATGACAAGCTTTTCCAGAAGGTATGCAGACTGGCAGGGGACCCGGGGGCTCAGGAGATGAGCTTCATGTCAGTAGCACGGGACCCCGTGAGGACAAGTCCACAAAAATTGAAAACACAGCCTGCTGCGAGCGAGGAGCTTACAGGCTAGTAAATTACATTTTGTTTTGAGTGATAAGCCATAAATTCATGAAAAAGTAAATAAAAAGGAAAGCTTTATAGTATAATTACCACAGTGTAGAAAATACTTAAGCTAATGACAAGCAAGAAATATACCAAAACCATAAGCTGCCTCCATCCAATAAAAAAAAAAAGAAAGAAAAATACCAAAAGACTAATGGCATTAAATGTGAATTTTGGTGGTGTCTAATTTACAATTTTATGAGAATATGTTCATATTAATGAAAATAGGCTAGGCATATGAAAAAGGTTTAAATAATAGTTCAAAATAATAGAATAAAATTAATATATTATTAATTTTATATTAATAATGTAAAAATAGATATTGTATATTTTATAATATAATAAATTATAATTATTATATTATAAAATATACAAGCTAAATTATAAATGTTATTTCATTATATACTAACATATTAATATATATAGTGATATATTAATAATATATTGATATAAACAATTATTATTGATTCATCAATTAATGAACTACATAGAGACTAACAGTAGTTGTTGCTTTGCAAAGCAAGTATATTATATTTTATCCTCCATTAATCTCATTTTGTCCACTATTATAAAATAGTAATGAAGGAGGTTTATAGGGTGGTCCTCTAGCATACACCTGACACCTCCCAACACACAGTACTTTTGCTGGAGAAGTCCTGTCTTACTTGCTCCTTGATTTTTTTTTTACAAAATTTGGGTAGAAAATGGTGCAACTAGAAGGACCTTCTATATCATCTACTGCCATCCCTCACATTGCACAGGAAAAAACTTAGCCCCAAGATAGTGAAAAAATCAGAGTACAGATCTCCTGACTCCAGTCTAACACACACACACACACACAATCTCTCTATCCCTGGTCATATTTTCTTTCACTAATACAAATAACCAGCTGTTTGTACGTAGCAGGGCTTCTTGACTTTACCCAAGTTCTGAGTGGGAGCTTTGCCTAGAAGATGGAAAGACTCGAGGTCATTTTCTGCCTGCTCTTCCTTTAGCTGGCCAAGGTCTACTCCTATGCACACGGATGGATGCACCAGGGCTGGAACTGTGGGGATTACTTCCCAGATGGCATCACCAATGGGGCTTCCTGGTATTCTCTCAGCAAGGGTAAGGACAGTCCTGGGGCTGCTCAAGCTGACGTAGAATAGTGCTCATTTCTCCTAAATCCCCAATTTTCTCAGAGAAATGGTGGAACACTATAGAATTCTGTACTGAAGTAGAGTAGAGATTCAGGTTGGCATTTAATGTCTTTTTGTGATTGTTTGAAACTAAGATAGAGACGCCTTGTGGTCCTGTGAAACTGGTGGTTTACACAATAGATCAGGGCACAGGAGGAAAACAATGTAGCCAAGCAGTTCAGGGTGTGAGATCTGAGAGTAAATTGGGTTGAAACCTGACTTGCCCACTTGCCAGTCATGTGGCTTCAGGGAAATTACTTAACCTCTCTGTGCTTTGATTTCTTCGTCTGTAGGTCAGAATAAAGTACCTTTTCAAGTCACTAAAAAAGGGGAAAAAGAATAGTAGTACTTACCTCATAATTTTGATGTAAGTATTACATAAAATACTATACATAAAGTATATAGAAATCCTTGGGTTATAAATGTTAGGTTTTTTAAAAGTAGTACAGAAGTATGCTCCACATAGGAACAGATGAGCAGAGGGGCTGGGCTGGGCACAACAGGCTCCCCAGAGATGTGCTGTCTGTAGCCTGACTGCCCATCCCTCGTAGTAAGCAAGAGTTTGCCGTGGATGTTGAGTCTTGTGGCATTAAGAATGTAGCCTCAAAGAGCAGAAACCTCCAGCAAGAGGCTTCTCCCTCTAGTCCCTGGGCCTTCACCATGACCACGGGTCAAGGCAGGACCTTTGTTTGTGAACCTTCAATGGACAGGGAACCTAAGGTGAGAGAAGAGACTGAAGCAGGAAGCCAGGTTCTCTTAGGAATCGCCGTCTAGCATCTGTCTTTCCCCATCCTCTCAAATCTGACCTGGCCATGGCCCAGGTAGCAGATTGGTGAGAGCTGAGTTGGTGGTTGGCCTGTGGAGAGTGGACAGGAACAAGCTAAGGAGTCACCAGGTGTTGGAAATGTAGGTTTGTTGTGGCCAAAAATCATTTGAACACAAGGCAAGAAGATTTTGTTGAACTTTCCCTTTTTTAGTTTGTATAATGTTAGGAAAGCAATAGATTTTTTTGTCCACCAAATTGAAAATATCAAATATACTTTTTCAAGTTATAATTCTTTTTTCCTCTCTCCTTCCTTTCCCTCCCATCCCCTGAGGCAGCCTGGCCGATGCCTCCACCGAGAATCATTGCCCTAAATTAAACTGGTACAGTCCCAAGGCCATTGAACCAAGCAAAATGATTGTTCCAACAATGCGGTCTCTTGACCAGCATCATCAGCATCACCTGGGAACTTATTAGAACGTACATTTGGGGCCCTACCTGATACCTACTAAATCAGAAACTCTGGGGATAAGACCCAGAAATCTGTATTTTAATGGAAGGCTCAGCCTTCCAGATAATTCTAATGCAGGGAGAGAACCACTATAACAGGCTGTAGTTATAGTTCTCCACCTTCCCCTTTTCTTTCTGTATCAGCTGCTTGACTCATCAGCTTAAAGACAACTGAAAGTTAATGAAATGGATAATTGTTTTCAATTTTTATTGTGGTAAAAATACACATAAAAGATAGCCATCTTAACCATTTTAAGTGTGTGGTTCAGTGTTATTTTTAATACATTTGTAATGTTGTGCAACCATCACCACCATCCATCTCCATAACTCTTTTCATCTTGAAAACCTGAAACTATATACCGACTAAATAATAACTCTCCATTCCTTTCTCCCCCCATCCCCTGGCAACCACCATTCTATCTTCTGTCTTTATGATATTGACTGCTGTAAGTATCTCATAAAAGTGGAATAACACAGTATTTGTCTTTTCGTGAATGGCTTATTTCATTTAGGATAAGGTCTTCAAGGTTTATCCGTGTTGTAGCATGTGTCAGAATTTCCTTCTTTGTTAAGGATGAATAATATTCCCTTGTGTGTATATACCACATTTGTTTATACATTCGCCTGCCAATGGGCACAGGTTGTTTCCACTTTTTGGCTATTGTAAATAATGCTGCTATGAACATGGCTATGCAAATATCTCTTTGAGACCCTGCTTTCAGTTTTTTGGATATATACCCAAAAGTGGTATTGCTAGATCCTGTGGTAATTCTGTTTTTAACTTTTTGAGAAACTGCCATGCAATTTTCCATAGCAGCTGCACTATTTTACATTCCCACCAACAGAGCACAAGAGCTCCAATTTCTCCATCCTCACAAATACTTGCTAATTTCTGGGGTTTTTTGATAGGAGCTATCCTGATGGATGTGAGGTGCTATCACATTGTGGTTTTGATTTGCATTTTGCTAGTGATGCTGAGCATCTTTTCATGTGCTTGCTGGCCATTTGTATATCTTCTTGGAGAAATGTCTATTCAGATCCTTTGCCCTGTTTTTAAATAAAGTTGTTTTCTCATTGTTGTTGAGTTTTAGAAGTTCTCTCTATATATTCTGGATATTAACCCCTTATCAGACATGATTCACAACTATTTTCTCCCATTTTGCCATTTTTCCCATTTCTCACCTTTTTATTCTGTTGATGTGGCTTTTTTTTTTTTTTTTTAGACAGATTCTCACTGTGTCACCCTAGGTAGAGTACAGTGGCATCATCGTAGCTCACTGCAACCTCCAACTCCTGGGCTCAAGCATTTCTCCTGCCTTAGCCTTCTAAGTAGGCGGGACTATAGGCACACGCCACGATGCCCTGCTAATTTTTCTATTTTTAGTAGAGATGGGGTCTCAAACTCCTGAACTCAATCAATGTTCCTGCCTTGCCTTCCCAGAGTGCTAGGATTATAGGGGTGAGTGACCATGCCTGGCTGATGTGGCCTCTTGATGCACAGAATTTTTCAATTTACATGAAGTCCAATCCGCTATATTTTCTTTTGTTGCCTGTGCCTTTGGTATCATATTCAAGAAGTAATTGCCAAATCTGATGCAATGAGCTTTTTTTTCTTCTAAGATTTTTATAGTTTTGGGTCTTTAGGTCTCTGATCCATCTTGAGTTAAGTTTTGTATATGGTGTTAGATAACGATCCAATTTGATTCAATTCCCATTTGGATAGCCAGTTTTCCCAGCACTATTTGTTGAAAACACTGTCTTTTCCCCATTGATTGGTCTTGGCACCTTTGTCAAAAGTCATTTGATCATATATGACCATATATCACCATAAGAGTTTCTGGGCTCTTTTCTGTTCCACCAATCCATATGTCTGTCTTTATTCAGTACCACAGTGTTTTCATGACTATAGTTTTGTAGTAAGTTTTGAAATCGGGACGTGTGAGTCCTCTAGCTTTGTTCTTTTTCAAGACTATTTTGGATATTTGGGGTCCCTTGAAATTCCACATGAGTTTTCTGTTTCTACAAAAAGTCATTGTTTTTTTTTTAAGAGATAGAGTGACTGTCACTCAGGCTGGAGCGCAGTGGCCCAATCATAGCTCACTGTAACCTCGATGGGCTCAAGTGATCCTCCTGCTTCAGTCTCCCAAGTAGCTGTGACTACAGATGCATGTCACTACAACCAGCTAATTTTTAAATTTTTTATAGAGAAAGGGTCTCACTATGTTGCCTAGGCTTGTCTCAAACTCTTGGCCTCAAGTGATTCTTGCACCTCAGGCTCCCAAATTGCTGGAATTATAGGCGTGAGCACCGAACCTTGGTATTTTAATAGCGATTGCATTGAATCTGTGTATCACCTTGGGTAGTGTAGACATATATAAATGGATAATTTTTAACCCAAATGAATTTATAATGTAAACATGATCCTAATAATCAGAAACATATTAGAAAGTAATTGATTCAGGCTGGGTACAATGGCTCATGCCTATAAACCTAGCACTCTGGGAGGCTGAGGCTTAAGGGTTGCTTGAGGGCAGGAGTTCGAGACCAGCCTGAGCAAGAACGAGACGCCATCTCTACAAAAAGTAGAAAAAATTAGCCAGGCATGGTGGCATGCTCCTGTAATCCCAGCTACTCAGGAGGCTGAGGCAAGAGGATAGCTTGAGCCCAGGAGCTTGAGGTTGCAGTGAGATGTGATGATACCTCTGCACTCTAGCCCAGGCAACAGAGTGAGATTGTGTCAAAAAAAAAAAAAAGTAATTGATTCAACTGAATAATTGAATGATATAGAAGATCAGAGCAGGCGAGGTTTGGTGGAGAAAAAAATAAAATATGGCTGGCTGCCTTCTGCTTTGTCAAGAATTTATTTTTCTGGGATAACTATTTTCAGATTAATGTTGTGTTCTCAGGTAGGAGGAGGGATGTGAAAGCAAGGTATTCATCTCCTCTCTAACCTCCCAGGTCTGAAGAGCATTGTAGTTCAAAGGGAAAATCTATTCTCTTGAAAGCAGTACATGTACGTAGTCTACTATTAAGGCATAGCTGATAAGCAGACTTTGGAAATGATAAAAGGAACAAGGAGTGAAATTAAATCATGAAATGGAAAAAAACGTAGAAGATGGAGATGGGAAAATGGGCATTTATGAAGAGAGAAAACTGGAAAGAGAGAAAGGCATGTGAACTGGGAACTTGGGGAAAGGTTTACTGGAGGAGAGAATTAAATGAGGTCAAGTGATATAAGAGAAGGTGATAGGGGGTGGAGAATTTGTGATTAAAGAGAGATGAGATGGGGCATTTGGGCAAGAGCCTGGTGATACAATCTGCCACTACCCCCTTTCCCCTAGGAATGCAAGACTTTAATTATCTCCATACCAACTGCTTTGAGATCACACTGGAACTGAGTTGCAACAAGTTTCCCGGCCAAGAGGAATTACAGCGGGAGTGGCTGGGTAACCGGGAAGCCCTAATCCAATTCTTGGAACAGGTAAAATCATATTTTTTAACTTAATCGTATTTTTTAACCTTTTACAAAAAGAGAAGTGTTTTCTAATGGCAGAGAAAGTGTTTTATGTGGCTCAGACCTGACTTTGACTCTGACTCAGTGCAATAGATCTGGGCTTCTTCTACCAATGAGATTTATTCATTCAACATTATTGAGCACAACTATCTGTCAGAAACTGTACTACAATGCTGGGAGTTATGAGTAAACAAACAAATATCCATCCATGTGGAACTTACATTTGAGTAAGGAGAGACAGACAATACACAAAATAATAAAGTACAATTTATAACATGTTAAAGGACAAATGCTATGAAGAAACTCTTACAGAGAAGGTGACATTTAAACAAAGATTTCAAGGAGGAGAGGGAGAGAACTATGCAGCTATCTGGGGGGGGTGGGGGGAGAGAGCATTCCCTGAAAGAGACACACAGCAAATGTAAAGCCAGCAATAAGCACATGAAAAGATGCTCAGCATCACTAATCATTAGGGAAATGCAAGTCAAAACCACAATGAAATCCACCTCACATCCATCTGGATGGCTGCTATCAAAAACCCCAGGAATTAGTAAGTGTTAGTGAAGATGGAGAAATTAGAACCCTTGTGCACTGTTGGTAGGAATGTAAAATGGAGAAGCTGCTATGGAAAACAGTATGGCAGTTTCTCAAAAAATTAAAAATATAGTTACCATAGGATCCAGCAATACCACTTTGGGTATATATCCAAGAGAACCAAAAGTAGGGTCTCAAAGAGATATTCCATGTTCATAGCAGCATTATTTACAATAGCCAAAAAGTGGAAGCAACCAGTGTCCATTGGCAGATGAATGTATAAACAAAATGTGGTATATACACACAAGGGAATATTATTCATCCTTAACAAAGAAGGAAATTCTGACACATGCTATACGATGCATAAACCTTAAGGACATGTGCTGAGTGAAATAAGCCACTTACAAAAAGACAAATACTATATGATTCCACTTATATGAGGCTAGTAGAGTAATCAAATTCATAGAGACAGAAAGTAGAATGGTGGTTGCCAGGGGCAGGGGAGAGGAGGAAATGGAGAGTTATTGTTTAATGTTTATAGGGTTTCAGGTTTTCAAGATGAAAACAGTGATGGAGATGGATGGTGGTAATGGTTGCACATTACAAATGTATTTAATAACACTGTACCATACACTTAAAATGGTAAATTTTATGTTGTGTGTATTTTAATTTTAAAAAATACAAAGCCAAGACACCACTGTGGCTGGAATAATCTCAGAAGTAAGGGAGAGAGAGAGTAGTAGGAGAGGACATCAGCGAGCCAATATGTAGCTTTACAGACAGATCATCACAGGAACTTTAGCTTTTGCTCTGAGTGAATTGGGTATTGAGTAGAATGGTGCCATATTTGACTCAGGCGTTAGCAGGATCACTCTGGCTGCTCTACTGAGAAAAGATTATTGGAGTGGGAGGAGGGGCAAAGAGACCAGTTAAGGGGTCAATCCATGATCTTGTGAAGACCAAATGCAAGAACATAGGAGACAGGGCTTCGAGACTCAAAACCAGTGTATGAATGTGCTATGATCATAACTGTATGCTATAAACTTTTTCCTACAGGTTCACCATGGCATCAAGGGAATGGTGCTTGATGAAAATTATAATAATCTTGCAGGGGCTGTCATTTCTGTCAGTGGGATTAACCATGATGTCACTTCAGGTCAGTGGCTGCTACTTAGGGGGTGGGAAGAAATCTTTCACTACTTCCTTCTTCAGCATAATCAGGGGGGCAATTTTTAGGCCAGTAAGACTAGCAGGATATCAGGGACACTGGGGATGGGGGATTGGAGGCAAGAAGGGTAATAGAAGGGGAGAGTAAATTAGGAGGCTAGATCAAACAACCAAGTTATTTAAATGGAAAATCTTTCTCTTCTGAAGCAAGCAATCCTGAGAGGCAAGAACCAGGAAAAAAACCAATGTAAATGTAGCTTCTCATCAGCCTTAAGGAGTCACTATTGCATACAACTTTTCTAGGGGTATTTTCTCAGCTTGAGGCTATTAATAGTTCACATATTGCTATGAAATGGGGTAGAAAGAGGACTGTAAAATTGATGTTTAGCCTTGTCCCTGACTCAGGCATTTTGCTACACCCCCACTGGGGAAAAGTTAGCAAGATTCTTTCTATTAATATCATCTTACTGCAGTGCAAGATTGATGGTGGAGGCAGATCTTCTTGGAGCTACCTGGAACTGCCTAGAAGGGTACAGAATTATCTCATGGCAGAACGGTGTTGCAAACTGACCAAGCTCAATTTAATCATCCACAACTCTTAGGAGTTTTTGTTTGTTTTGTTTTTAATGTCTAACAGTAGCTACCAATGGTTAGGGGGAGGTGAGATTTGCCTAACTCCCCACAACCTCAGTACCAGCAAGGCTCAACCAAATTTGACTACACAAGCGTTTATTACCAAGCAGGCATCTTACAGTTCATGCAATGTGTTTAAGCTGGAAGAACTCTCAGCTTTCTGTTCTTTGAAGAGATCTGAATGCATCTTACGTGAAAGATTCCTTCAAGGCAAAGGCAACATTCTAAAGGCTGAGTTCTGTAACCTCACAGCCATCAGACAGAATTCTCCAGCCCAACGGCTAGACCCAGGACTGTATAGGATCAAACCTTAGGCACCATCCCTAGAGAGCACAGGCTTCTGAACTTGCTAGATTGTACGCTGTTCAAGGAAAGGTGAGGAATGTCTCCAAAACATCCTAGCCAGGCAACATATATTGAACACCACTATTCATTTCACCAATAAGTGCCCACTTCCACAGCCCATTATGCTAAATCAACAAACTGCTCATTTCATCAGTGAAAAAACCCATTGCTAATATTCATTATGTTATTTAGCAAAGCATAGAGATAAAGATGGATGAACCCCTCATAGCTGCATCTGGAGTGGGGCCTTTTTGATACAACACTGGCTACCCATTCCTTGGTGTGCACTCCTAGTTAAGAAAATGACATCTCCTGGTATATAGCTTAAATCATCCAAAATATGCATAGTAACACCCCACCTTTGCTGAAGTGCTTTAAAACAATTACAGACATTTATTAGGGGACAGAAAAAAGACTTCCACATTATTGCCTGTCTGGTTCTTTATTGAATTTATTATTTCAATTATTCATTGCTATATACTTAAATTCTAAAGGCACTGTCATGACTGATTCTACAGGGATGGAAAGTCATTAGCCAAAATACTAAACCCCTGTCATGGAAAAACAAGTTTCTTTTGAATTTTATTTTCCCTTGGCATATTTTTGAAGGTGGTAGAAGAAATATTAAAAATAGGATTCTCAGGCCAGGCACAGTGGCTCATGCCTGTAATCCTAGCACTTTGGGAGGCCAAGGTAGAAGGATTGCTTGGGGTCTGGAGTTCAAGACAAGCCCAGGCAATAGCCAGACTCCATCTCTACAAAAAAATTAAAAAATTAGCTGGGCATGGTGGCACGTGCCTGTAGTCCCAGCTACTGAGGGACTGAGGCAATAGGATCACTTGAGCCCAGGAGTTTGAGGCTGCAGTGAGCTATGATGACACCACTGCACTCTAGCCTGGGCAACAGAGCAAGACTCTGTCTCAAAAAACTAAAAATAGGATTCTCAGGACCAGATCATCTAGTCCAGCCTTCCCACTGGATATAGGAGTACACACACACAGCACCACTAACAGCTGTTTACCCAACGCAAGGCCTCTATGTCCCTTAGTGCGGATTGTGCACTGCACAACTGTGTAGCTTTTCCAGAGCCCCTGACTCAGTCGGTCTCTGCTTGAGTGCTCATAATTTCATAAAGCAGTCCGTTTCTTTTTTTTTTACAGCAATGTTTATCACAATAGTTTTTACTTCTGTCTAGCAAAATATGCTTCCCTGCAACTTAAACCCATAGCTCTCATTCTTATTTCTTTAGATAGACATTATTTCTTCATAGTGGCCTTTCAAACATCAAAACAGAGATCTCATGTAGTATATCAGGCAGAACACTCACAGATCTTTCAACCTTTCTTCTCTCCTAGTGATCCTTTACTGGATGTGAGTTTGCATTAAAATACAGGGTCTAGAATTAAACCCAATACTTTCAGTGCACTGCCCAGTAAAACCCTTACTTCCTAGGAACTGAGGCCTATAATTCTATTAAAATGGCCTACAAATGACTTAGATATTTTCCAGTTTCATTACACTATTAAGAAAAACCAAGGTTGTGGTCAGCTAAAACTCCCAGATCATTTTTAAAATCAAGTTTCCATTTGGGGCAAGTTTTAAGTTACAAAGCTGAGTTAAAAATCCCTGTGACTTTTAGGTGACCACGGTGATTACTTCCGGCTGCTGCTTCCAGGTACCTACATTGTCACTGCCACAGCACCTGGGTTTGACCCAGAGACAGTGAGTGTGACCGTGGGTCCTGGGGAACCAATACTGGTGAGTGAGGCTGAGCATTGCAGAGCACTGTGACGATCTCTTATATGACGTCTTAAACAACTGCTTGCATACTTCTAATCTTTGCCTGGCTTACCCTTCGACTATTTTATTTAAAAAAAATCATTGCTTTCATATCCTAATTTTTCTTCTGTCACTCTCCTATTATATCCTTCCCCACTGCCTTTTGGCTTTTTCTCTTTCTCCTGTTTAACATAGTGTAGTGATTTAAAGCACTGTCTAGTTCTAAATCCAGCTCGTTTGCCCACAGACATTGGACAAATTACCTAATCTCTCTCATCCTTGGTTTCTTCCGCTGTAAATTGGTGATAACTGTGCCTCCTTCACAAGAGGTTGAAATCATAAGGTGTACATGAAGCATTTAGTACAATGACTGCCACATAGAAAGCATTCAACAAATGTTAGTTTATAAATCCCAGAGACCTTGCCCAGATACATGGGCTCAGTTCCCACGGCTTGCACTCTTCTGTGCCATCAGCAAGAGCAGCCACCAGGGGGCGCTTTGCCACCCCTTCTGGCGCCCAGTGTGCCTGGACAGCCTTGCTGTCTGCTCCTCTCCGGGGTTTTCTTTTAAAGATGGAATGAGAAGCAAAGAACTTTAATTTACAGCCTGGACCTTTTCAGTTTGGGTCATATTAGGTTGGGAACCCAAAGATAAAGGGGCTCAGATACTATGGACATAATCCTCAGATTTCTCAAAGGAGAACAAAATAATGAGGCAGTCTATTTAATGAGCATCTGCAGACCTTATTTCCCACAAGTAAGCTCTTTCCTAGGGCCTCTCCACTCTGTCTACTTCCTTCTCTACACAATCCTTAAAGCTAATGTACAATGCAGTCAAGTCATATGGCTTGTCTTTTTAAATATGGTAATAGGTACTACTTATTGAATAACCATTATGTATCAGACACTATATGAGAGCTTTCTAGAATTATATCATTTAACCTTCACAACAGCCCTGTAAGTATCCCCATTTGTGGCTGCAGAAACTGAAATTTAGAGATGAGAAACTTGTACAGTGTCACTCAGTGAGTGGTGGCAGCCAGGATTTGAACCTGTGTCAGGCTCTCGGGCTGCCTCCTTAGCCAGGGTGTTGCAGGGCCTCATGCTCAGCTTACAGCCCATGTTCATAATTCCTTATTTTAACACAAGGATCAGGGTAAAGAGTTATTTTTTAAGTCCTTTGAAAATTCCTTTGAAATTTCTAGATGGTTCCTGCTCCCCCTCCCCCAGTTCCTCTACACCCAACTCCTGAATGTTATAAATTACTTCTACTTGCAGATGCAGAAAGCAAAAAATAAATCTTCCATTGTAGCCTGTTAGCTGATCCCAATTTTCCAATTGAGGTATCCTGTTCCCCTATTTGCTTGTTATATCCTAAAATCAAATGACCGGTAAGAAGCTGTATACATAAGTCTTGCATTACAAGCATGTCTAGTCCATGCCAAATTCAATCAACTGCACATCCTCCTGAGTAACAAAGACACTCTGTTTCAAAGAATTTTATCTCCTTTTTCATATATCCTTTAAATAAATTAACGTAACCCATCATTATGTCAAATATAACTCAGAGGGGAAATATCTGTTATTTGGATACAATTCCCAGATACAGTAACAACTAAGAATCTGTTTATGGATCACAGAGGAGTCTAGGTCCTTCCCATTCTAAAGCAGGTATCCATCTGGCTTGGGAAGGAAAAAAGAAAACAGGATTGTTTACTATAGGGTTTTCATGTTACAATTAAGGTGCTTTACAATATCTCCCAGGGCCCAGTGTTCTCTTTGCTTTCCCCATGGCCTTCTAGATGCTGCTGCTCCTTCCATTTTCCTCTGTCCTTGTCTCATTTTGTTGTCTGTCTTCTTTCTCTCTGTCTTTTTTTCCTTTCCTAGGTTCCTACATTACTAAATAGGAAATAGGAAACGACACGGTGCAGTTGCCTCTGATTCTCCCCTGCCTGCTTTGGGGAACTAGCAGAAAAACTAGCTGTTGGCTTTTTGTGGAAGGGGCAGGAAACAACCCCACAGAGAGGCCTCTCAGGCAGCGGCATGATTTCTAACTCCCAGCTACTCCAGCTGCTCCAAGGGCGGGGAGAGCCAGGGCTGCCCCAGGGGAGTGAGGTTAGGCCTCTGCTGCTCCCTCTCCTTTCTCTGCCAGGACGGCCCTGCAGCTCCTCCACGCCCAGAATATCCCAGTCAAGCATCCTTCCATCTGCATGCCATGGCCCGAAGGGAGGAAGTTGCAATGCAGAATGGAAAGGATTCATTAGGGAGAGGCCAGTCAGAGAGAGAGACAGACAGACAGACACAGAGAGAAAGCATTAATGCACGTGGAAATTTAGAGTTTGAGTTTGAATCCATACTATATCATCTCTGCTATCTATATTGCCAAACAATTATGGCAGAAGGTTTGGTTCTGAAGGGCTGAGACACCCATTGACATGCCTGAACACGGCACCTGGGAGTCACCCTGGCAGCATAAAGGGGTCATTACAGCACCATCAATCACAGCTCTTGTCCTAAGCAGTAATATTGGTGAAATCTTGATGTGTACATATATAACTTTTTTCAAATACATATAAAATTAACGTAGATTAAGTTCATCCAGCTGCACCCCTTGTATCACCGGTAGTCAGTCGAGTACTAATTTGGGGGGGAGTATTAGCCAGTCTATATGACACCACTGGCACTGCTCTGGGTCATTGCTGTAATAATTCTCCCTAGTTTCCTGCCGTTGGATCCCAGAACTGTGGTGAAAGAGGGGCCAAACTGGTCTCCTAGCTTCTGCTTTTTCCCTCCCAGGTTAACTTCCACCTCAAGAGGAGCATGGCTCAAGCAAGCCCTGTGAAGAGAGCACCCAGCGGGGGACGTAGGGTCAGAGTGAAGGTGCAGCCCAGGGGTGCCAGAAAGAAAGAAATGGAGGTGAAGCAGCCCCGCAGAGGCCCTGCCTGAACCCCGCTGTGCCGGGCAGCCCTCGCTCCTGCTCTCAGGTCCGGTGGAGCATTCTATCTATTTTATTATCTGGGACATATTTAAATATAAACATATTCAGAACAATTCAGAATGGTGTCCGTCTGTCCCAGGGGTGAGCCCTCTCTAGGCCATCGTTAGGGAATCAGAGTCTATGAAAACCGATGCAGGGGTGCCCGCGTCCAGCAGTGTTCTGGCAGGTTCTCCCATTCTGGGAGCGGTGGAGGCTCCGTGCCAGGCCGCACCGCATCCAGGGACGGGCTCTGGCTGGTCGGCCCCTCCTTCTCCGGGAGAGCACAGAGCTTGCGACATGGTAAGTGCTCAGGGCAGATTTCTGAACGACGACTGAAATGCTGAGGAGACCCACCATCCAGGATCACTTCAGCAGTAGCCAACGGCGTCTCGGGAAGAGAAAGACTTGACCCGCAAATACCTAGTCCATGGCTACCCGTCTCTGCACATGGGCATTTTAAACAATATGCGTCTTTCAAGGCATTTTCTGGATGTGTAAGTATGATGCAGACGCCTGTGTGGAATGGCACTCTCCACCTCGCTGAGCTGCCCAGAAAGAACCCATTTGTATGAAAAGTGCGTTATTGAGCAAAGTAGATGTTACTAAAGATTTTAAAGGGATGTGTAGTCTTTCATCACACCCTTCGCAGCACACAAGTTCATAAATCCTCATTGGGCACATGGGGGTTCCTGAGTCCCCTCTCCCCAGGGCATGGTGGGGGTTCTTTACCATGCACCCCATTTCAGGGCTCAGCCTCCGTTAGACAGGGCAGGCTCCAGTCTCCCCCGCCTGCTCCCCTGCCACCAGGACCTCTAATTAGCACAGCCCTTTCTTGCCACTGAGCAGTTTAGCTCCTCTAATAATACAGCGGTGCACGGCATAATGACACTTCAGTCAACGGCAGACTGCGTGTATGATGGTGGTCCCATAAGATTACAATACTGTGTTTTTACTGTGCCTTTTCTATGTTTAGATACACACAAACTTACCATGGTGTTACGATCGCCTACAGTATTCAGAACAGTAATGTACAGTACAGGTTTGTAGCCCAGGAGCAGTAGGCGACACCACAGAGCCTAGGTGTGTAGTAGGCTACGCCATCTAGGTGCGTGTAAGTGCACTCTCAGATGCTCGCACAGCAAAGCCGCCTAACGACACATTTCTCAGAACGCATCCCCGCTGTTAAGTGCCTCATGACTGTATAGCCATCCCTCGGTATCCACGGGACACTGGGTCCAGGACCCACCTCGCGTACCACGTGGACACCAAAATCTGAGCTTGCTCAAGTTCCTTTTATAGAATGGGATAGTATTTGCATATAACCTATACATATCCTGCCATATGCTTTAAATCATCTCCAAATTACTTATCACACCTAATTCAGCATAAAAGCTATGTAATAACTATGCTGTTATACAATATTTTAAAATGTGTATTTTTTTAATTGTATTTTTTCTGAATATTTTTGGTCTGTGGTTGGTTGAATGAGAACCCGCAGATACGGAGGGCTAACTGTATTCTTATACTCGTCGAAAAATAAGAGGTGAAGGCCAGGCACGGTGGGGTGGCTGACACCTGTCATCCCAGCACTCTGGGGTAGGGGGCCAGAGCCAGTGGGAAGGGCTGTCTTGGCAAGGTCAGGAAAGGGATCCCAGAACTAGTGGAGTCTAAGGTGAGACATAGTGAGGTCAGTAGAGGAATTGGCCAGGTGGAAAGAAACGGGGAGACAATAGTTAGGCTGAGGACACTGCAAGTATCGGGGCTCTTGGAAGCTTTGTGGCTTGCTGAGGGAGCTGCAAGAAATTCAGTGTGGCGGTAGCCAAGTGAGGAGCCAGAAGCCAAGGCCAGTGGGTGGGGAGGGACCAAATCATGAAAGACCTTTGAACTATATCGCAGAGTTTGGACTTTATCCTGAGGAAAACAAAGCCATTGAAGGGTTCTTCTGAGGGGAGTGCAGAATCGGATTTGGAATGATGGCTCCAGCTGCTGCCTGAAGAGCTGGCTGGGGCAGGGGGAGACTGAGGCTGGAGGGTCAGTGAGGAGACTGCTGACAGCCAGGCGAGAAGGGGGCCTGAGCCCAGGCATGGCGACGGCGGTGGGGAGACACCAGGCAACTCCAGAGTAAGTCCCGTCAGCTCCGGCCGCTCCTCTGCCTTCTTTGAGCCTTCAGTGTTCTCGGTCAGATCCCTCCTGCCCGCCCTCTGAGGGTTTTAAGCATTAAAGGAGATGCAGGTTTTCAAACCAAACCCCAAAGACTATCCTGAGTACAGTTCACTCAAGCTGGAGGCGATCCATTATACAGACAGAATATTAGACAGAATATACATGGTCTGGTTGTGACCATATGAAAATTCCTCACTGCCAACCAAGCAGGGCTGTGGAATCAGAACCAGCAGGGTGGCGGTGGGAGGGTGGGCAGGGACAACAAGGCAAGAAAGAAGGTCCTCCGACTGTGGGCTCAGCATTTTCCTGGCTGGTGCCCTTTCTATTTTATATCTAGAATTTTATTTTAAGGAGGAAATCTTCTGCAGAGAATGCCATGCTGAAGGGGTAGAACACCATCATTAAGGGCACAGGTTTTAGACTCTGACTCTGTTCCTCATTTGCTGTGTGACCTTGAGCAAATACATTAGCTTCTCTGAGTCATAGGTACTCACCTGGGAAAAAATAGAAACAATATATACCTTACTTGGAGTTTGTGGAGATTGAAGGTGGTAACTTTATAAATCATTAGGGAAGGGAAGGCAGCTCCTGCCCCACACTCTCCCAGAGGATCATCCCTCAGGCTGGCCCGCGGTAAGCCAGGGAGTCTGAGTTAGGCATGCGAAGAGGCGTTTGGAAGTGAAGCACTCTCCTGAGAGGCTGGACCAAGCCCACCCTCCCTGTCTTTTCCATTTCTTTTCTTTTTTTTTCTAACCTCATATACTGGAAGAGCTTTATTAGTTCCTTGTTCTTCCTGGTATTTTTCCTTCCAAGTTGAAGATTTTGTGACCCAGTAACTCCCCTCCTCACTTGAAAGAGGAGAATTTCCAGTTTTCAGACAGGATGACACCTACTGACTTCTGGCCCTGGTACTGGTTCCCACAGAGGTTTCTGCTCTGGCAGTTGTGACCACCCTGTCTTCGCACCTTTGTGTGCCCGGCCCTCACAATAGTGGCCGGCACATATAAACACATCACGTGTGTTTGCTGAGTGAGTCATCTCCAAGATCACTTTCACATTTTTTCTCCTTCTTGCCTCTTTCATTATTTTTCTTCTTTTACATAGTATTAATAGTTTTTCACATCTATTTTTTATTAGAAACCATGATAGAATTCTCACATGACTCCCAATAACCTTGTATAATCCTTTTCCCTTGCATGTGGATGAAATCTGTAAATATGATGAGATATCACTCTTATCATCTGTTATAAGACAAAAGGATTTTGTAGGTGTAATTAAGGCCTCAACCCAGTTGATTTTGAGTAAATCTACAGACACATGATCTCAGGTGGGCCTGGCCTAATCAGGTGAGCCCTTTAGAAGCAGAGCTTTTTCTCTGGCTGGCCCCCGGGGGAGGAAAGCGGATAGCTGGGGTATGAACTGCCTATGAAGAGGAGCAGCCTCTAGGAGCTGAGGGAGGTCCCCGATCAACAGCTGGCAAGAACACAAGGACCACAGTCATACGGCCACACGGAAATGAACTCTGCCAACAATCTGAGTGAGTTTGGGTCAACACCTTGAGGGGAGCCGTGTGAGACCTAAGCGGAGGATCCGGAGTCCTGAGCAACGGAGATGATGAGATGATACATTTGTGTGGTTTCAAGCCTATAAATGTGCGCTAATTTATTACACTGCAATAGAAAACCGTTTATAAACTATTTCAATTTTCTTTTGGTAAATTAGGTAGAATATCAAAGAGTGGCATAGCTGCCATGCTCCCATCTCAAGTGAATACACATAAAACAAAACATGAGAAAACGACACAACGTACAACACTTTTTAAATGAGAGGGCAGGTGCAGTCAACTTTACCCAGTAGATGACTCTTCTAGCATCTGTTGATCTCTAAGGGGCTTTAACTTAAAATACTCAGTGTACCAGGGAGCCGCACCCTGGGGTGAGGTTCCCTGTGCTCCTTCAGCGGACGTGCAGCATTGGCACACACCCTAAAGCAAGAGGAACAGTAGGGTGCCCAGACACTCTTTAGACAGGAGGGCTCTTCTTCCAATGGGGGATCGAATCCCTTTCCCAAAGGATCAAAATCAACAAGCAATGTGTAACATCCTAACCTCTGCTGTCCACCTTTAGAACACTTTGAAGAAAAAGTAGAGCAGGAGCCTTCTCAAATAGCCAAACACAGTCACCCACAATTTGAACATTTATTTTAAAACAATAAGATCCCAATAGAATGGTGTCAAGCTTGTTTCTGTTAAAGATCCAGGAAATGAATTCAGAGTGTGATATTGTGACCTAATAAGAAATATGTATTTGGTTGTCTTCTGGCATAAAGCTTCTAAAACCCTCCTAAATCCTTGAGTGATGGGACAATAGGATCATCTTTTGTTGTTCATAGCAAGCTCCTGACTTTCAATTACACATGCCCCTAAACAGCCTCAGGATGGGGCTGGTTGCCTGAGGATCCAATCCTATGATTAGACGGTTGGATACTTCACTTTTCCCTCTACCTCTAGGAAGGGGAGAAGGGCTGGAGATCGACTTAATCACCAATGGCCAATGATTTATTCAATCACGCCTACATAATGAAGCCTACATAAAAAATCCTAAAAGAAAGGGTTGGGAGAGCCTCCAGGTTGGTGACTTTGGCCACATGCCTGCAGAGTGGCACCCCCCGACTCTGCAGGGCCAGACGCCCCTGTGCTCTGAACCCTTCTGGACCCCACCCTACGTGCCTTTTCCTCTGGCTGTTCATTTGCATCCTTGATAACGTCAACCTGAAATAATCGAAAGGATCAGAATCCTGTTTTAAAAAATTTATTTAGGCAAAAAGCTGGGAATGGCCATTCTAGGGCATACAGACTCCAGAGAAATGGATTAAATTCTAGCTTATAGGGGGAAAAGACTTTAACAAAGAA